AAAAAAAAAAAAAAAAAAAAAAAAAAAAAAAAAAAAAAAAAAAAAAAAACTCGATTTCTTGAAAAGAAACACAAAGCAAAAGGAAAGAAAACCAAGATAACAGTTATTCAAATTGTCGCGGCTGCTGACGTGGCATGCCGATCTTCTCTCAGGCCTCGGCACAGAAAAGGAGCTCTGGCTGCTGACGAACGATCTCATGTCTTTCAAGACTTTGCTGGAGCTCGAGTCAACAAGGTCAAATAAAGGGACAGAAATCAGGGATGTTGAAAGGCAAATCAAGAAAGTTGTGTATGCCATTGAGGACACAATCGACGCTTGTGTGACTCGTCTGGCCGCAGCAGCAGGAACAGACTGGAAAAATATGTCCGGTCGCAGACGAGATCTCGTCGACCCAGATGACCTGGCACATGCTGACCTGGCACGGCAGGTCAGGTCCCTTAGGAAAGATGAGCTTGAATCTGCCATGGACAGGCTCATTGGGACTGGCATTACTAAGGTACCAACTGCAAAACTGATGGATCGAGACAAGCTAGCAAAGCTGGAGCCAAGGCTGAAAAGGGTACTATTTCTATAAGAAAAACTATTTTTTTTTGCATAAAAAAACTTGGCTCAACTTAGCTATCACCTGCATTATGAAATTGTTGAAAATATAATAACAAGAAAAAATTCTGTAGCTACCAAATGAATAATACAGCTGTTTGAACATGATGAAGAGTAGCAAATTAATTAGGCCCAACTTCAACTTGTGTGCACAGGCAACCTCAATCATGGGAGACAGCATCGTAAGTCTGGAAGATGAGGAAAGAAAATTAATCGAAACTCTGATCTCGGGACAACATTCCGGTGATGGGCATCGTTACCCTGATCGGCATGCCTGGCCTCGGGAAAACGACCCTGGCTTCGAAGGCTTACAACAACGAGGAAATCCAACGGGAGTTCCCCACCCGAATATGGGCCTCCGTCTCCCGAGAGTTCAACCCGAGAACCGTCTTTCTCGTCATCCTCCATGAATTCACGAGCAAAGACATGTCAGCCGAGACAACCTCTGACCTGGCCAAAGCCATTCGTGCCTCTTTACAAGATAAGAGGTTCCTTTTGGTCCTGGATGATGTATGGACAGCCAATGCAATGTCTACAATCAAGTCTGCTTTGCCAACGGACAACCCGAAAGGTCAAGTCCTCGTCACCACCCATCATGTCCTCGTCACTAAACAGGTGATGTCTTCCAAAGCTTCGTATTCTATTCAAGCACCCCAACGACTCCGTTTGTTGACAAACGACGAAGGTTGGAGACTTCTTCAGTTAAAAGTATTCGGGAAGGTCGAGGGGGGGCAGTGTCCTCCGCAGCTGCAAGGGCTGGGGAGGCATATAAGCCAACTATGCCGAGGAATACCGATGCTTTTGTTGATGATAGCAGGGATTCTTATGGACTACGTCTCGGTAGCAAAAACGAGCGTTGCCATAGTGAAGTCGTGGATAGAGCTATCTCAGAGCCTGGACAAGTACACGCGCGGTGGGTCGGATGTTTTTAGGAGCGTTTTGGAATTGAGTTATGATAGGATGTGTGACGAGTTGAGGGACTGCTTTCTTTATTTGGGGGTGTTCCGGGAAGATTACGAGATCCCGGCTTGGACATTGACTCGGCTGTGGATTTCCGAGGGGTTCGTTCGGCCGAGGCAGGGACAGAGCTTGGAGGAGAGAGCAAACGAGAACCTAAATGATCTCATCGACCGCAATATAGTCATCGTCGATAAACTTAAAAGCAACGGTGGGGTCAAGACGTGCCGAATTCACGACACAGTGCACGACTTCTGTAGAGCGGTGTCGAAGGAGAAAGAGCATCTCTTCCAAGTATTGAGAAAAAAAAATGGCGACCAAACTTTTGTCCAAAATACGAACAATCAGCACCGCCGCATTTGCATTCATTCTAATGTCTTGGAGGCAAAATTATATATTATATTCAAAATTTATAAAATATAAATAGTTTCTGAAAATCAATTTTAGATCTAATCAAATACGAATCACAATTTAAATACGATAATGGATCGAATATGAATACGAGTAGTCAATATTTTCATGAATCCAATCAAACGTTTCAGTTCGATTCGTTTACAACTCTACCTAAGATTGATAACTTGAATGAAAAATGAGAGATGGTTAGTAACCTCTATCCTATGAAGCTTGAGGTGAATTTTCATGAAGAAGCTTGTTAAATGATTTATTCACCTTCTGGGAGAAATTTCTAAATTCCATGACAAGATAACAACATCTTGGATTTTCTTTGTAAACATATGATGTGTCGTTAGAAAAAAAAAAAAATGACGATGGGGGTTTTAACCATCCGATCACACATGCACACACACACACACACCCAAATTGGTTGTGTGTTGATTGAACGGTTAAAATCCACGAGGACCGAGAAAAGTGTAGGCCCTTGAGAGAATGCGCCTTATAGTTCGAGCCCTTAGTTGAATTTGCCACGAGCTCTGGTATTAAGAAAAGTCGAAGAATTGCGCATTTCGCTTTTCTTTCATACAGCACATCATGTACATATGTTATGATCTATAACTAACACTAAGGTTTTAGTTTTACCGCCTTCTTCACACGTCTCTTGATGTTAGCATGTTTTTGAACCAGTTGACAGAGGATTTAGGTATCCTGGTGAGGTTATTCTTGAAATCCACATAATAAAGTCCGAACCGGACAGTATATCCCATGTTCCATTCCCAGTTGTCGAGCAACGACCAAATGAAGTAGCCCCGAATGTCACAATTGTCTTCCCTGAATGAAAAACTTTACATAAATTGCTTCAAATACTCTATGGATAACAAAAAATTGCTTAAGACAACTTACTGCTAGCACCTTATAGCAGCTGACAAGTTCGAGAGATAGTCTCTGTGATAACTTATTCTCTTGTCGTCTTTCAAAGCCTCACGCAAGTCCATGTGAGATTTATTAGGATCATCCATTCCTGGATTCATATACATATTGCATGAGGTAAGCAATTTGAGATTTGCCGCATTGTAAAGAGCGAAAAAAAAATCTTATTACCATTTTCTGTTATAACTACCGGTGGATTTCCATACTCATCTTTGATGTAGTTTGCCAACTTTCGAATGCCCCACGGGACAATGTGCAGCCAACGAGACGCGGACTGAAAAGAAAGAATTTACGGGCCAAAAAAAAAAAAACGTAAGAATCTTTTTCTACTGCCAAATTTTCTTTCAATTCATCTTCTTTTTTTGGGTTTGTCTAGCGAACACTTACTCTTTCTCCAATGGGGATTCCGTGTTTTATAGCTGTAGTCATATAACAGAAAGATAAAAACTTTAATAACAACATGAATGCAAAGCGTAGTGAAAGTAAAGAGGCTATGCCTTTTTGGTGTATCTTACATGTGGTTATTACAGCAGAATCAGATGACGCGTCATGAAGTATGAGCTTACGGATTCTCATTCTATCATTGCGCGTGTATAACGTCGTGTAATGATTTATGCCTATAAAATCGAAGGACCCCTTTAAGAATTTCGACTGATCTGGCTTCATTTCCGGGAGCCTATCACCTACAAGCCTCCGCATCGTAAGAGGGTATTTCCCAAGTAGAAGTGGATCAAGGAACCTGATTTATATAGCAAATTAAACCAATGTGTTTATCTTCTAATAAGAAACATTTATAAAGTTCAACAAATTTGATTCGTTTTTTTACCATCCGAGTGCGAAATCCAAGGCTCTGCCTGCAGCATCTATGTCCTCGTCCTTGTTAGAAAATGGTTCATACCACTTAGCATCTAATGCTATACCAACTCTTCCCTTTTGGCATCCCTACAACATTATATTATTAGTGAAAAACTTAAAGTATCTTCTTGAGTTAAATAAATATGACTTGTATACCTTGAAATATTTCTGATATTTGTGATAAGCAGCAGCGTGCGACAAGAGGATGTTATGAGCTACTATATATGGTTCGACCGAGGAGTTTCCTTTTTTGCAGATTAAATGTCCGAGGATCGAGCATCTTCCGGGAGCTTGAACTCCTAAATCATAACCTTGGATTGCAATGCCGTGAGGCTCGTTGAAAGTTATCCAATTTTTCACTCTATTCCCAAATGCTTGGAAACAGATATACGCGTAGTTTTCGAAATCCTTCCTGTTGTATAAGTAAAGAATATCTTAGAGAAACTGCAATGAAAGAAGCATAAGTAGATAATAAAATATATGAATGAACGTACACGACTTGGCTGCTCAAGAGCCCTCCGTATTTATCTTCAAGCACCTGTGGAAGATCCCAATGGTATAAAGTCGCGTACGGCTGGATTCCTTAAAGAGGCGACGACAAAGAATCCGGTGAGTGCATAATCAAAAGTGATCATATATCACATTGTAATAAATTTTGGATAATAGTTGTTTTTAATCGAACCTTTTTCTAATAAAGCATCAATTAGGTGGTTGTAGTAATCTATTCCCTCTTGATTTGGTTCCCTTGTACCATCTGTTCAAAGTTCACATATGTACAGTTATGCTAGGTTTTCTAATGATCACAAATGGACATCAGGGAGATGCTATGGTCCTGGAACCATTACGTCGGGGTATATAACTGGTAGATCAACTATCTCTGACGGTTACATAATGATCTAACGTTTACAAACTCGACGGAATGGTTCCGTAACGGGACGGAACCGTAGCATTTCCCTGGACATTATACAAGTTGTGTCTGACTGAAATTTCTTGTACAAACATAAGCTTGGTTATTGAAGATCCATACAAAGAAAGAATAATTAAATTGAAGATTCTCTCTCTCTTTTTTTTTTCCTTAAAAAAATAGAAGATTCTTACTTGGTAAGATTCTTGACCATGAGATGGAGAATCTATAAGCATCCATGCCCAAGTCCTTCATCAAGTCTATGTCACCCTGTCATCATGTGAGGTTCATACATTTGGAAAATGATAGGGTCATGTTACAGAACTATCCCGCCGGGTGTTTTAACCGTTAGATTATTTATCTTATATTAATTACATGTGTATCCAACGGTTAAAACTCCCGACGGGATGGTCTCGTTAGCATTTCTCCATACATTCATTTTCATTCTTATCTCTTCCCGAAAATACGTTATCCATAATTTTGGCATTTACTATTTTTCAAATGGAGGAGGATTCATTTTGACATTTGGCTTGTACACGTGGCAACGCCAAACAAGGGGAAGGAACAAATGTATCTGCCTTTTTTTTATTTTATTTAAATAGAATAAAAATTATTTACCTTGAACCGATGATACTGATCAACCGCGGTGTTTGCATTGCTGAAATCCAATATTCTTCCTTTTTTTTCAATAAAAAAAAAAATTAAAGAAAAGGAAGGGTAATTAATTAACTTAATTAAATTTAATTTTGGCATTAATTGGTAGTCTTGTAAGAAAAAAAGACCATTAATCACCACCAACCTGGTTGCCTGGTGAAGCTATCCCATATGCTTTCTCCTTTGTTCCCCTCATTAACTGCTCCTTCAAACTGATTAAAAATTAATTACAAAGTTAATTAATCACAATTTGTCCTCCAAATTCTACATCATTTTTTAGTATTAAGCTAAGTAAATTTAGTAAAAATCTTCAAATGAGGAATTAATTATCCATGCGAGGGCTCTTAGATAGGCATGCAAAATGAAGAACACGTGTAAGGCCAAAATGCAATCATCCCTAAAAAATTGATACGAAAGAGACGAGACGAATGACCATCTCAATCGGATGATACAACTCTCTATAAACCAAGAATATATATACAAAATTATAAGGCTACAAGTAACCCAAAGCCAATACGGTGAATACACGAATATACACCACAATAACAAAATAAACATGGAAAATGAAGAATTAGTAAACCTAACTATGGTTTAGTTAACTAACCTGGTAAGCCGATGACGCGGTTCCGAAAGTGAAGCCGTCTGGAAAATCGGATCGGCTAACGGCTTCACATTTGGCCACAAAAAATACCAACAAATACAATAATAAGAGCACTAATAAAAGTCTGATCATTTCCATTACACGAATTGTTGATCATAAATAAATAATTTCAAGGAAAAAAAAAAAAAAATTGTTTGGGTTTTGGTACAAATTAAATAAAAAAAATATTTTATGTTGTGAATGATGGAAGATGAATTTTGGAAGCCAAGAAAAAAAATGGACTAATAAGTAATTTATAGCGGTTACAAAGCAGTGGTGGATTTTGGTTTGGCTGCCTCTTAAGCAAACTTTTATTAGCCTTTTGCTTACACGTTATGATCCCCAAATATGTAAAAGTGCTAATTAATTAATGGACTCTTTTTGATTGTGATGATGAATATATTACATATATAGAGAACTTTGGATTTTGGGGGGAAGGTTACCAATTCATTCTATCCTTTGATGATTGGAATGTATCAGACCGAAAACAAGTTGATGAAACTTTGAAATTTGAAAAGAGTGTAATTTTAGTTTCCTTCTATAAAAGATGTCATCTTTCGTGGAAATGTCACGGTCTCGTTACGGAACCATTCTGTCAAGGTTTGTAACTGTTTTAGATCAACTATTCGCGACAGTTACATTGATGAACGGTTACAAACACCGACGGAATAGTTCCGTAACGGGACCGTATCATCTACTCATCGTTCAATATGATTAGGGGTGACTGGATATAAACTCTACGATAAAAAAATCAATCGAAACTCTAAGTTAACTAATTTTTAACTCAACCTCACTATTTCAAGTATTATCAATATAGTTGAATAATATGAACCAATCATTATTACATATCTTATCAACTTTAATCTACTATTTATCCACACACATAATTTTAACTAAACATCACTTCTAACAATTTTTCTTTTACTTTTACATCAAATAAATTTTATTTGTTTTATTTTAAAATTTTAAAATACATACTGACAACTAATCATGCTATTTTTTTCAGAATTAACTAAGAGTAAAAAGAAATCAATTAAAAACAAACCAAATTCATATCCAATCACATCCTCAATCTCTCTATTAACGTTTATTTATTGATAATGATATTATTGTTGTAAAAAAATATTACTATAAAAAAGCCAAGTTATATGGGTGCGACAGTTTCCACGAAATTATAAACTTCACAGCCCATTACAACGTTGGGTCAGAAAACTTGAATGCTAAAAAGTAGCCCAATAACCAGGGTCGGTGCATTTAGGCCCATTTATGCCATCAAAAACCCTACGGCGCAAAACGCGGCGCAAAACCTCATTCCCCTAGAAACTCAGTAACAAAACCCTATATATATATATATTCACCAACATTAACTTTTCATTCAACTCATTGTCCTACCGTCTCTCCTCCTCCTCCTCCACCACAAACCCACACACCGCCACCCGCCGAGAATGGGTCGTGTAATCCGGGGGCAGCGTAAGGGAGCAGGCTCCGTCTTCAAGTCCCATACCCACCACCGCAAGGGCCCGGCCCGGTTCCGCTCCCTCGACTTCGGCGAGCGCAACGGCTACCTCAAGGGCGTTGTCACGGAGATCATCCACGACCCCGGCCGCGGCGCGCCGCTCGCGCGCGTCGATTTCCGCCATCCCTTCCGCTACAAGCACCAGAAGGAGCTCTTCGTCGCAGCCGAGGGCATGTACACCGGCCAGTTCGTGTACTGCGGCAAGAAGGCGAACCTCGTAGTCGGCAACGTGCTTCCCCTCAGGTCTATCCCGGAGGGCGCCGTCGTCTGCAACGTCGAGCATCATGTCGGGGATCGTGGCGTTTTCGCCAGGGCCTCTGGGGACTACGCTATTGTTATCTCTCACAATCCTGATAACGACACTTCCAGGTAATATATGCATGGCAAAATTATTGAATCTGGCACTTTTGGTGCATCTGTTGAGAAGATGTAAATGTTTGGCACTGCCTTTAATTTGGAAAACTTGGGCGTTTTTAGCTATGTATGTGCATAATATTGTTATATTCCCAAATATTTGTTTGCTGCACCCAATTTGCGAACATGAAATCATCTAAATTACAGGGGATTTTCCATTGTTTATTGAACTCTCATGCTATCTATTTGTGTGCTTTGGCTAGTAGTATTGCTGTCTGGGTTGATAAAACAAGGATTGAAGTTGATCTTGAGTTAAATATGTACTAACAATTTAGCTATGAATGATTCAGTTGCTATGGGAAGATGGTTCTCAGATGCTAGAATTTTCTTTTTTTACTAATTTTACACCTGAACTAAACATGAAGTATGCTATGTCATAGTTTTCTCTGCCAATTCAATGCATTAATCCTTCATTAGGAAGTCTATATCTGATTTTGATCATAATCCAACTTGTTTCTAGATTCAAGGCTGTTCACCCAAGCTATATACTGTGTGGATAATCTAACACCATGTGGATATACTTTGTTTACAGGATTAAACTACCTTCGGGAGCCAAGAAAATTGTGCAGAGCGGCTGCCGGGCAATGGTTGGACAGATTGCTGGAGGTGGGCGTACTGAGAAGCCAATGCTGAAAGCTGGAAATGCATACCACAAGTTCAGAGTGAAGAGGAACTCATGGCCCAAGGTGCGTGGTGTTGCCATGAACCCAGTCGACCATCCTCATGGTGGTGGTAACCATCAGCACATTGGTCATGCTAGCACTGTCCGTCGTGATGCCCCACCTGGCGCGAAGGTTGGTCTTTTTGCTGCCAGGAGGACTGGTCGCTTGCGCGGTCAAGCTGCCGTCACTTCTGCTAAAGGTGACAAGGCTTAAAGACTTTTAGCATATTTTAAGGAACAAAAGAAGTTTTCTCGATTTTGTTTATTTCTTTTTTTCAACTCCCTTTCAATTGGATATACTTTGTTATTGCTGGTGTTCTATTATTTTGAGCTCGACTTCCGAATGCTTGTTGATATTTTCGTGAACCATATATATAATGGTTACTCTTTCACTGTTTAATGGTCGCTCATGCATTTGGAGACTGTCAGTTTATTGTCATATAATTTCTACTGGGAGTCCCTAATAATTGTTTCTGGAGAAGATGCTGAAAAGCATCACAATAATGGCTGATCAGATGGGACTAAAACACATGTTAAAAAAGATTGGATGTTCGTGGTGGACTTATGAATCTATAGTATTAATTTTTTTACCCTTCATGTTCCTACTGCAATCATAAATTATGAAATAACTCTCTCGATAAATGGATGAGATAACTCTCTCGATAAAATTCACAAAATATCATATTCATTCTTCATCACAAAATATCAGATTAAGTTTTTCATTTGGATTCATATTTGACATAAATATTTGTTAAGTAAACATTGATTTTGTAATTTTTTTTACTCAAATCAGATCTTACCTTCGTATTATTTTTCTCATTTATTATATTAACAAAATTAGACAAATATATCGTAACATATAAATAATATTTGTGTTAGACATATTGTTTTGTGGGATTTAGCAACTGTAATAACATGTGATTAACGTGTAGAATGTAAGAAATTTGTATTAGTAATAGATGGTTATGCGTTACAGAAAGTCGGTTTTTTTATGAACCGAGTTGTTTATGTATACTTGTATTTAATATTCGGAGTTCGCCCTTTGTACAAGAATAATTTCCGCTAATTATAGTAAATTTTGTTGGCTCGTCATTTGAAGTTGATACGACCCCATTTAATGCAAAGGGGCTTTATGGAGGCGGTTTATGGTAAGTAGGCTCACGGATATGATTGAGATTCATGTGGCAGATAATTGGTCGCGTGGATGCCTCGTGACCTGCTCTACATCTCGGTCTCCTCGAATCTCGGTCTACGGAACCTCTGTTCTTTAGAAGTCGGTTGTCACCGCAGAAGTGAAGTCGGTTTTTCTGTCTGGTTTGAGCTAAGTCGCTATAAGTCCACGCTTAACCCTTAGTTAATATCCTTAAGTTTGGCCAGGTTGGTCGTCAATAAAGACACATATAAGCTTATAAATGTAACTAAACAATAATAAATTTTTACAATTTGAGAGAATATACGTGTGTCATTTTGAATAAATATATTATTATTTATTTTCTGTACATTTATTTAATAACAAACTTCACATACTTATTATTTTAATATATAACTATTTATTTTTTAAAAAAATTATCAATTTTTTCACTAACAATTAATTCTTCCAATTCAATCCGATATATATTATTCAAAATGTTAGTGGATATCGAGTCAACAAAGATTTTGATCTCACGGCTATAACTGTCGTTTAGATAACTTGATAAATAAAAAAAA